CCATCCCCAGACCCCCCTGCTGTTCAAGCCCGGGGCTGCGGTCCCGCTACGGCACACACAGGAAGCAGGCGCAACACGGACACGCATGCACATACCTGTGTTTGCATGTGTGTTCATGCCAGTATATAAAATCGTGTGTGTGTGTTTAGAAATGGGGTCTCACTGTGCTGCCCAGGCTGGCCCCGAACTCCCGGGCTCCAGCGATCCTCCCGCTGGGCAGCAGGCGTGCGCCACCGCACCGGGCCGCGCGAGGGCTCACAACAAAGCCACGTGTGGAAACGCGCGAGAACGGTGGGCGACCGCGGCCGGGCCTCCTCCGGACGGCAGGGCAGAGATGGGCCGAGCCAAGGACCCGGCGCGGGGCGCTCGCCGGGAGACCGCGCGCGTGGCTGGCAGGGCAGGCCTGGCGTGCTTCCCGCACGGGCGCGGGCGTCCCAACGCGGCTGCGAGCCCCCTACACCGCGCCCCGCCGCCCCCTTCGCCGCGCACCCTGCGCCCCGCCGCCCGGCGCGGGCCCAGCGTCCCAACTCCCGCTGCGTCGCTGGGACCCGCACCTTCCGTGTCCTGACCCCGCCCCGCTCCCGAGCCCGCCGCCCCCCCCAGCCCGCGACGCCCCCCCAGCCCGCGACGCCCCCGAGCCCGCGATGCCTGCCCTCAGCGAGCCCAGCGTCCGGCACTCGCACATGTTCACAGTTACACACAGTCACACACACTCACACTTAGTTACATACAGTCACACGTGCTCACACTTAGTTACGGTCACACGTGCTCACACGTAGTCACGCGCTTACACTTAGTTACACACAGTGCTGACACGTAGTTACAGTCACACGCACTCACACTTAGTTACATACAGTCACACGCGCTCACACCTAGTTACATACAGTCACACGCGCTCACAGTTACGGTCACACATGCTCACACGTAGTCACGCGCTTACACTTAGTTACACACAGTGCTGACACGTAGTTATAGTCACACACACTTAGTTACATACAGTCACACGCGCTCACACTTAGTTACATACAGTCACACGTGTTCACACTTAGTTACGGTCACACATGCTCACACGTAGTCACGCGCTTACACTTAGTTACACACAGTGCTGACACGTAGTTACAGTCACACGCGCTCACACCTAGTTACATACAGTCACACGTGCTCACACTTAGTTACGGTCACACGTGCTCACACGTAGTCATGCGCTTACACTTAGTTACACAGTCACACGCGCTGAGTTACAGTCACACGCGCTCACGTAGTCATGCGTAGTAACACGCGCTCACACGTAGTCACGTGCAGTCACACGCTCAGTTACAGTCACACACGCTCACACGTAGTCACGCGCAGTCACACACGTTCACACTTAGTTACACAGTCACACACGATCACACGTAGTTACACGCAGTCACACGCGCTCACACGTAGTTACACGCAGTCACACGCGCTCACACGTAGTTACACGCAGTCACGCGCGCTCACACGTAGTTACACGCAGTCACGCGCGCTCACACGTAGTTACACAGTCACGCGCGCTCACACGTAGTTACACGCAGTCACGCGCGCTCACACGTAGTTACACGCAGTCACGCGCGCTCACACGTAGTTACACAGTCACGCGCGCTCACACGTAGTTACACGCAGTCACACGCGCTCATACGTAGTCACACGCAGTCACACGCGCTCACACGTAGTCACACGCAGTCACACGCGCTCACACGTAGTCACGCGCAGTCACACGCGCTCACACGTAGTCACGCGCAGTCACACGCGCTCAAACGTAGTCACGCGCAGTCACGCGCTCACACGTAGTTACACGCAGTCACACGCGCTCACACGTAGTCACGCGCAGTCACACGCGCTCAAACGTAGTCACGCGCAGTCACACGCGCTCACACGTAGTTACACGCAGTCACACGCGCTCACACGTAGTCACGCGCAGTCACACGCGCTCACACGTAGTTACACGCAGTCACACGCGCTCACACGTAGTTACACAGTCACACGCGCTCACACGTAGTTACACGCAGTCACACGCGCTCACACGTAGTTACACAGTCACACACGCTCACACGTAGTTACACGCAGTCACACGCGCTCACACGTAGTTACACAGTCACACACGCTCACACGTAGTCACGCGCAGTCACACGTGTTCACACTTAGTCACGCGCAGTCACACGCGCTCACACGTAGTTACACAGTCACACACGCTCACACGTAGTCACGCGCAGTCACACGCGCTCACACGTAGTTACACGCAGTCACACGCGCTCACACGTAGTTACGCGCAGTCACACGCGCTCACACGTAGTTACACGCAGTCACACGCGCTCACACGTAGTTACACAGTCACACGCGCTCACACGTAGTTACACAGTCACACGCGCTCACACGTAGTCACGCGCAGTCACACGCGTTCACACTTAGTTACACGCAGTCACACGCGTTCACACTTAGTTACACGCAGTCACACGCGTTCACACTTAGTTACACGCAGTCACACGCGCTCACACGTAGTTACACGCAGTCACACGCGCTCACACGTAGTTACACGCAGTCACACATGCTCACATGTAGTTACAGTCACACGCGCTCACACTTAGTTACAGTCACACGCGCTCACTTACAGTCACACACGCTCACATGTAGTTACAGTCACGCGCTCACACAGTCACATGCGCTCACATGCAGTTACAGTCACGCGCTCACACAGTCACATGCGCTCACATGTAGTTACAGTCACGCGCTCACACAGTCACATGCGCTCACATGCAGTTACAGTCACACGCGCTCACACAGTCACACGCGCTCACACTTACAGTCACACGCGCTCACACGTAGTCACACAGTCACACGCGCTCACACGTAGTCACACAGTCACACGCGCTCACACGTGCTCACATGTAGTCACACGCAGGCACACGCAGTCACACGCGCTCACGTAGCCACACACGCTCACGCGCAGTCACACGCGCTCATACGTAGCCACACGCAGTCACGCACGGTCGCACGCAGTCACGCACGGTCACACGCAGTCACGCACGGACGCACGCCGCGCTCTCCCTCGCAGGGGCCGGACTCGCGCACCGGCTGCACCGAGGCCGCCGGCCGCCCCTGCTCCCCGTGCGCTTGCACCCGGAACGGACGTCACACGGGCAAGCGCGGGCATCACACGTGCGCACGCGCACGCGCACGCACGGGAGGGCAGCCCGCACGCTGAGCCTGGCGCCTCCTGCCGTCCCGGTCACGGACAGCGTCCCCCAGGCAGGCGCGGCCGGCACAGCCCACGGGGCGAGAGGCGGCCCCTCCCGACCGCGCCGCTCCGGGGTCGGACCCCAGAGACGACCTCAAAGGAGGGGACGCCCGCCCCAGCACACGCCTGCCACACGCGTGTGCACACGT